CCTCAGTGCGCACTATTGGTCTTTATCATTTACCTTTCACCTTTTATTTCCCGTTTTAAAGGGGGCACGATCGTCCGTTTCGGATTTTGTTCCGTTGTTTCTTTCAAAGAGTTTCTATTCGTTCGCGTTGGCCCTTTCCTTAGAGTCCGTCACCGTTGGCGTTCTCGTCCCAGCTCTGGTCTCATATCTTCGGCCATCACTTGATTTCGCCAACAAATTGAGGATTTCATTTGAGATGAGCGTACGCCCGTGCCTTCTTTCAAGGGCATGGTGGGCTTTCTTTGACGGACATTACCTTTACACGTCGTTCTCCAGCTCGATGTTCGAATCATCTGACTTTTTCGCCCTATTCTCCTGTTCACCATTGCACTGAATTAGCCCATATTGCTTCTTCCGTGTCGTCTGTCTATTTCTCATCACCACCACTGAGCATCGGTTCGATTTCACCTTTTTGCATCCTCGTCTCCTTTCAGTTCACCATTCTTGGTTAGAGCCAGTTTCCGTTCGTATTCCGTACGAACCCTGCTCTACCTCGTGTCAGCTTCTTGGTTGCTCTCTTCCTTTTCGAACTTTTTGAACTCTGCGCTTTGCATCTTCTTTTGGCTCTTTCCATTTCCAATTACCTCGTGCTGACAAGCTTTACAGACGCATGTTAATCCTCGCGTACCCCACGGGCCTCCAGATATGGGACTGCACGAACCTCAGCGCGATCAACGAAGTCCTGAATCTCAACCTCAACTCGGACGAGTGGGGTATGCTCCTCGGAGCCCCGGATCTGAGTCAGAGCACCACCAGCGTCCGTGGCGGAGGTGGGGGGCATGACGTTGAGAAGGAGGAGGGTGCTGCACAGGCGTTTGGGATAGTACACGCCGCGCTGTTGCCTTCGCCCAGTCGACGTTCGCTAACCCATGCTGGGAGGGATGCGTTTGGAGAGGATCGGCCTCTGCTTGGTATTTTGTGCGTTATGTTTCATTTTTCGAGTATTGAACTTCATGCTAACCGTTGGGGCTGGTAAATTCAGAATGGACCCTTCGGACGAGGACGAACGCGAGCTCGAACCCCGTTTCACATTTGTTTTATATTCTCTTCGTAGACACCAGCTCGTGAAACGACTCACGTTGCCTGGTCTTGCTTCATCTTTTACCCCTAATGAGCATTTTATTATAATCGTACGTTTCTCGTTCTACTTCTACCAGAATTTGAGCTAACAATATTCTCTTTATCAGAGTACGACAACGCCTCCGACTTTGCATGTCCTTTCATCTTCAACTTTCCACACCTTGCATACCATCGCATCGGGCTCGCTTGAACCGTTCGCGACGCCTTTATTCACCGGCTCGTCGACCGCGCTCAATATCACGAACCTCAACCTCGCTTCTGCGCAATCTACTGCACTATCTATATCCAACGCAATAACCTCAACTGCTCAATCAACGCTTTCGAATAAATCTACATCTGTATTATTAGCTGGACCTGGATTATCTATAGACGAAGACGCCACGAATACGAACACCACGAATGCCCAACGACAGCCGACTAGGACGAACGAACCTCAGCCTGTACATGCGCTCTCACATCGGCTCCTTGCGTACGCTTCTCCTTCGCCCGCCGCTTCACCTTCTCTTCAACCAACGTCGAGCAAGGCTTCGCGCCGGCTTTCTTCCTCCTCGACTACCACCTCAGCCTCAAATGCTGCCTCAAGCGTTTCATCGTCGCCATTTGGTGGCCTCGGCGCGGGCTTTAGCAAGCTTACCAACATCAGCCAGGCAGACGTAGGCCATGCGGCTCTCAGAGTCGGCGAGAGCGTTCTCGGCGGGATGAAGCTGTTTGGTGGGATGGCGTTCGAGGCTGCGAAGAGCCGTGTTGCGTCTGGGGCGCGTGGGGGTACCGTGAGCAGAGATGGGAGGTTGGGAGTTGGTGGGAGGGGTGGGAGTGGGACGAGGTATGGAGTCTCGAGGAGCGCACCGGATAATGCTGCTGCAGCTGAAGAAGATGCGAGGAGGTTTGGGCTTGGAGAAAGGAGGTATTCGAGCTCGTCGTCGGCGATGTCGGCGAGTCCACACCCGCAGTCGCATTCGCACTCGACAACCGTGGCACCTTCGACGCGGCCTGTCCTGGAGAACGGGTATTACGTTACCGTCATCGACCTCCTTCCTCTCCTTTCGTCTAAGGTTGCGGACTTGAACGCCACGATGACGACAGCACCTAGAGCTGCGCCCACGAAGATCGACGAATTCTTGGTGTCTCGTAACCAGCCCGTCGCGAGCCTACATTTTGCAGAGGATGGAACGAGTATCAGCGCCGTCTCTGCGAACGGGCATTCGTTGAAGGTCTTCAAGCTCCGTCCCATCCCGAGTATCCTCCCTCCATCGGTAGAGACTAGCGAGAGCGTCCGTAGGTCTCTGGCATCGCACGTGTATGACTTACGGCGAGGGCGGACGTCGGCGGTGGTTGAAGGAGTGGATTGGGCAAAGGATGGGCGGTGGGTCGCGCTTGGGACGAGGAACAGGACGGTGCATGTGTTTGGGGTGAATTCGTACGGTGGAAAGCCGGACATTAGGAGCCATTTGGAGGGGAGGGTGAGGAACGTTGATGTTGTGGTGCGTTCTTTATCTGGTTAATTTTCTATCGTGAAGCTGATATATGGCTCTTTTTCGTTGTCAGGAACCCCGAATGACTACTCTCGGGCCGTTGGTGCGACTCCGAGCATCGAAGACTACGTCGTCGGAGCAATTTATGGCACCGTTAGCGTTTACGTTCGTCTCTTCGAACGAGTTATCAGCCTCCCCTGGTCTTTTACCACCACTCTCGCCTCCGCCTGTCTCTCACTCTCCATCATCGCCCTCTTTCTCGCCTTCGTCTCGGGGTAAACGTGGCGCCAACTACCAACACGTTCTTGTCTTCGACCCCGAAGATGGCGTTCTTTCCCTCCGCCGTCTGACGTTGGACAAGCATCTCATCCGCGAACAAGGAATCGGCGGGGTAGCCGCCTCCGTTCAGGCCCTCGGTGTCACCAGCATCTCGCTACCGGGTATGGGCGGCTCTGGACGGCTTAGCTCCTCGCCTTCGAGTGTGGCGAAGACCGGTACACAGACAGCTGCGGCACGTGTTGTCGACTCACCGATGGAACTTAGCGCGAAGGAGAGTGAGGTGGCGACATGGAATTTGAGGAGGGAGAGGGGATGGGAAGAGATCAAGAGGCCGATCGTTCCGAGTGGGAGGGGGGCTGGTGCTGGCGGCGAGTACGTTATTTCATTTTACTATGTGTTCGTTCATTTTCTGACGCCGTTACTCGACTTAGGTGGTTCTCCGAAGCCGAACTCTCGACATGCTCAAACTCCGCCCGCGTCCTTCCCCGTTCCCTTTACCTCAGCCACCAATTCTCATTCCACATGCTTGGCGAAGAATATCAAACCCTCCTTCGGCGCTACCAATTCGATTTCTCTGGCGCGAAGATCGAAGTTCGCAAGGCCGTCGAAATCAGCGCGTACGCCTCCGGAGGCGGCAATTCAGCCTTCGTTGAGGGCTATTCTTCGCCTCGCGATATTCGCCGCGCCTCATCCTCCTTCGACGAACCACTCGCCTCTGCCATCTCCGGCAGCTTCGACAACTCGAACCTCCCAGCTATCCTGCCAATGTACCCGAACGGCATCCCAGGCTCGAAACCCAAGTCGTTCCGCAACTCCATCCCTATTCGTACGATGGCCGGCATTGGAGATGGTGTCAGCGAGGGCCTAGGCCGTATTCGACGCGGGATGCACGGCGTTCGTTCGCCCCAGCTCATCGCACGCTCGGACAGCAGCATGTCCGGACCCGTCCCACTCGAATTCGATGAAGAAGATGAGGATTTCCTGGTACGGGACACCCTCGAGATACCGGACCACGGAGCTAGAGACGAAGCGTCCACCTCGCGCGGAACGTCCCGCGAAGGCGCCAGCGCCGAGTCCTCCTCTTCCATCGCGATTACGACCCCGGCGAACGTGAGCACGCACCAGCTCATGGACGCGGACGTTGTGGGTACCGTGGATGAGGAGATGTTCGACGGGTGGGACCATCAGGATAAGCTCGCTGTGGAGGAGGCAGAGCAGTTCCATGATATCGCGGCGGTTGGATATATGGACGAGGAACGCGGACAGCAGGTGCCTGCGCCGCCGGTGCTTGATTCGACGCCGAAGAGGAAGGGAAGGAAAGGGAGGAGGTGATTGTGAGTTCATGGATTTCGTAGTTTACTCATACACCAACGTCGTACTTATCAAGAAAGAAAGACTATATACATTTGTAACATTTGAAGAAATACATATTTACGTGGAAGTTGTACATTGAAATTTACGAGTACGTCGAGAGGCACCTCCTCGCCGTTATCTTGTTGATCTCCATACGCCGTCCAGGAATGCCTGGATGTTCGCGGATATCAAAATTTATCAAATGCGGGGCACATGCGGAGGTGTTTGTTCAGGTGATATGTCCAAGGCCTTCTAGCATATCGTCCGCCAATTTCGTCCTTGTTCTCTCTCCATCGTGTAACTTCGTCCCCTCTGTACCAACACCCTCATTTCCAGCGCAATGCAGCGGGTATGGTCGGTCTATCTGGACCAGAACGGGCACCAGAGGGAGCGCTCGGGCAGCCCTAGATTGGTGGTGCGTTGCTATCACGCCTTTTAGTGCTCCTTTCTTACGAATCTCGATTGAATCCGCCCTCTTGGTATTCCGTCGTTGCCCACCCTTTCCAACCGTGCTTTCTTCTCTCTCTGACTCTGACTCTACCTGTGTACTGCGTCGTCCGCTAGATGGACAACACCAACGATTCACCGTGAGTTCCTTCTCCACTTCCATCTGCTCGAGTACCCGTGGCTGATCGGCCGTCTCTCGCCATTCTTTCTGAAACGCCATCACATTTTCGACTCTCCTTCCACCTCCACCACGATATCTACCCCATCGACCACAAAAGGCGCTCCTCGAGACGCGATTCGGTCCTCTCGCACGCTGGATCGACGAGACCCATGCTCGCCGATATCAATACCTCCTCGACGGACTATCTCAACCCTCCCACTGCACCCTTCGCCAGCGGTATCCGAGGATCGAAGGATAATCTGTCCGTTGGGTCGAGTGCGACGAGCAACCTCTCGCTGAGCGTCAACTATCTCCCGCAGAAGTTTTCGTCGTCGATCATCTCGCCTGGAGGTGCACGGTTTAGGGGCGCGAAGAAAGATGGGCCGTCGTTGCCGAAGAGGGGTGGGGGGCTAAACGCCTTCAAGAGTAATGAAGCGCGGATGCCGCAGGGGAGGAATAGGCTGAGATGGAACAAGTTCAAGTGGACGTTGCTCGTCACTAACACCCTGGTGCGTCTCCTGCCTAAATCTTCCGTACAAAACTCATATTCATCCTCTTTCAGCTCATGCTCTACTCCCTCGCCGGCCTCGTCACCTGCCTCCTCATCTGGTTCGACGTCTGGGAGCACGCAGACGTTATCCGCACAGGCAACCAGCCCGAGCTCGTCCTATCCACCTTCGCCGCCTGCCTCGGGGTCTTCACCTCCGTCATCGGGTGGGCCGGCATCCTGCTCAACAACCGCGGCTTTCTCGCATGGTACACCTTCCTTACCTGGATCGCCTTCGCCTTCCTCGTCACGCCGGGGTACATAACCTATAAGAAACGCACGTTCAACCTCGAGGGCAAGATCAACGCGCAGTGGTCGCGCGATCTCGGGTCGGAGGGGCGCATGAGGATCCAGAACCAGCTAAGGTGCTGTGGGTACTTCAGCCCGTTCATCGAGGCGACGGTCAGCCAGACGTGCTATGCAAGGAGCCTCCTGCCCGGATGCAAGCTGCCGTATTTGCAGTTCGAGCGGAAGATCTTGAAGTATTGGTACTCGGCGATCTTCCTGCTCGTACCGCCCCAGCTGCTGGTCATGCTCGCGGGTCTGTTGTGCTCGAACCATATCACGTATCGGTTCGGGAAGGGTATGATGCCCGAGGCGTACCGTCTCAATCTCAACACGATGGCCGTTATCATGGAGAACTACGCCAAGTACGCCCCATCTCCTTCTTTCTTCACTCCCACCATGTACTCAATGTATCTCTCCTTCGTAATACAGTGAACTCGCAGACCAATATGGCCAAGATATCGCCGCCGAGGTCCTCAAGCGCTCTCGGTCAAACCTGCAGCAGATGCAAGGGCTGCCCACCGTTCCGTACGCAGGTCATGCTACCCCCCAGGTCGAACACTCGCCCATGTCGCCCTTCCCCGCGAAATACGACGCGCTGAATACTCGCGCACCTCCTACGCCGCTCTGAATAGGCTTTCGGTGACACACATGCGCCATAGTCTCTAGGGTTAGGGAGGGGGTGCTCCTGAGCGAAGCGAAGGTGCACGTTTGGTGAAGACGTGGTGCGTTAGGTCAAAAAGCCTGGGGGATCTACCCGAGGCGGCCTTTTCTGCTTTATAGCGTCGTCAGTGACCGTACTAGAACGCGGGGCTTACTGTGGATCCGTGGATGACTGAGCACGACTCAGACGATTATTCATCCACGCGCGATTGTAACCAATCGCGTTATTAACTCACTCTGCTGAGTGAGCGACTTACTAAGGTGTGGAGCGCTGTATTTACGCCATTCGTTAGTATTTTTATCGCGCGTCAGTTGACTTGCGGCACGGGGTATTTGTGCTATACTTAGTTCGATTGCTGACTCGAACGGCGGTCATGGGGCTTCTGCGCTTCCACGGTGTCATCTTTGTTTAGTCATAGTCCGGATGCTCCGAACCGGATCGGACCGGTGCTAAAAATAGATTTAGTCATCGGTATGACGTGATATAGCTTACCTTATCCTGTCTAAAAATAGTCGCCGCAATGCTTTCATACATCACTTTTGGGCCGAACACCCGACTTATTATGTAAAGCGCTCTGGACCCTAGAGTCTCCCGGCAAGGCCCGGGCGGCACAGGTCGCACCATTGAAGGGCACGCAATACTTTTACGAACTGCTTACTGGGCTTCACTACGGCTATCTTAGCGTTTCGGTGCGTTACCCTCTTTTGTAACCCTAGCTCTATTCCGTTGCCCGCGCTCGACCTGAATGGTCCCACGGTGCTGGCCGCCTGTTTCCGTGACCGTGACGCACTTTTCCGTCACGCGCGCCACACCCCTCGAGAGCGCCCGTCGAGGGCTATCCGTGTCANGGGCTATCCGTGTCACGTGGAAAAGTGAAAAACGGACGAAAACTGACCGAGCTGCGCGGGCCGCGAGGAATGGGCCCGAAATTTAAATCCCAGGAAATTCGAATATCTTGCGGGGCGCCCGCCAGCCTGCGCCCGCCCTGCCAGCCGCCCATCCGCACGTGCCTGCCCATCTGCGGGCGCTGCTCTTCTCTTTGCCCATCCGTGCACGTCACCTGGTCTGTGCGCGCTGGGGCGCCCGCGACAGCACCGCCACCTCCGTGCAATGCCCTGCACTGGTACGTGCCTGCCCTCCCCTCCCTGCTCGTCACTCGGTCCGTGCGCATGCCCTGCCCGTTTCCCGCCCGCCGGCCCTTCCTCGGACAATCTCACCCGCTGTGCTGTGCCCGCCTCAGCCCCTCCCTCTGTGCTCGCTCCGTTCCGTCCCGTGCCACTCGCCCCTTTCCGCCCCGCCGTCTGCCCTGCCTGCCTGCCCTTTACGCCCACCAGCCCCACGGCCTTTGGTGCTTTCTGCCCGCCACGCCCCGTGTCTGCTGCCCTCCCCGCCCCTTGTGCAATGCCCTACGTCATCCCTCATCCCTGCTGCACCCCTCCCACACGCATACACCCACTACTCTAGCTCTATTCCGTTGCCCGCGCTCGACCTGAATGGTCCCACGGTGCTGGCTGCCTGTTTCCGTGACCGTGACGCACTTTTCCGTCACGCGCGCCACACCCCTCGAGAGCGCCCGTCGAGGGCTATCCGTGTCACGTGGAAAAGTGAAAAACGGACGAAAACTGACCGAGCTGCGCGGGCCGCGAGGAATTGGCCCGAAATTTAAATCCCAGGAAATTCGAATATCTTGCGGGGCGCCCGCCAGCCCGCGCCCGCCCTGCCAGCTGCCCATCTGCACGTGCCTGCCCATCCGCGGGTGCTGCTCTTCTCTTTGCCCATCCGTGCACGTCACCTGGTCTGTGCGCGCTGGGGCGCCCGCGACAGCACCGCCACCTCCGTGCAATGCCCTGCACTGGTACGTGCCTGCCCTCCCCTCCCTGCTCGTCACTCGGTCCGTGCGCATGCCCTGCCCGTTTCCCGCCCGCCGGCCCTTCCTCGGACAA